TCAACTCCTCCTGGAACACCACCTCCGAACTGATTTGCTGCTTCGAAGATGTTCGCAATTCCTCCCTTGTACTGGCGGCAGAAGCTGCCGCTGATGATGCGACGCAAAACCCCTCCAACTGCAATCGGCCGTTTTTTCTCTCCCAGCGCTGAAAGGTTGGCACTGGTGTGGAGGTTCTAAAAGAAATCCGGAAGCTCGTCTCCGTAGTAGAAGATTTTCAAGCTGAAGTCCGCCAAGGTTTCAGTAAAAGAATCACTCATCCCACCAGCTTGGAGATACGAAAAACGAAGACCATCAGGCCCCGGAGCACTCTGAGGGTTGGCTTTCTTCACCGTCTGCTTGATGAACTTGATTTCGAATGGTTCATCAGCTTCGGCGACGGAGTCTATCCTGTGCGTTTTTATAGTATCTCCCGCAGCTTTGATGCTGGAATCCCACGCAGTAACAATATCGTCAGGATCTTCGTTAGGGTGTGGGTTGCGAAGATACTCCAGCGTGTTGTTGTTTCGCGGTGAAGGTGCTGGGGAGATTAAGGCACTGGCAGCTTTCGTGATGCCTCCTCCTTCATGCGCAAGTCTTGTGACTCTTCTTTGGCGATTGTCTTCAGTATCCGCGTAGTACTGAAGTCGACGATTCTTCTCGTACATCATGAGCCAGGCGATAGGTTCACTCAGATCACCATTTGCAAAGCGGTTAAATCGGGATACCCTGTTCATCCTTCCATCAGTCGATCCATGCAATGCTGGGGTAAGATGAAGCAACTCTGTTGCTCGGACAAGTTGGAGTTGTCTTTCAACACGTGCTACTTCATATCTTTCCGCTGCAAGAGGAGACAGATCTGAGGTATCTGACTTCTGCTGATCTATGTGTACAGCTCCAAGTGCTTGCACGAAGAGGATGACGACATTAGGAGAAACAAATATACACACAGAAAGACTACCCGTTCGAGGTATAACTACACTCGAAGGGGATGTGTTGAAGTCTTTACGACATGTTGGAAGTGTTTGCAAAATACTTTCGCCAGTTGCGGATCGATGTGTTTGACTGTCGAAAAAATTGACGTTTCAAGAGTATCTTGTCGAACCTGATCCAGGGCACTGCTGACGTCGTCGAGGTCCCACGGTAATAGGAGTTGCCGCCTGTCGTCATCATCCTCTTGCGGTGGCTGCAACGACCCAGAGAGGGATAAAGACGATGTAGTACCTGGTTCGCAACAATGCTTGGTGCGTGGAGTGAAAAGGTCGCCGCATGTGCCACATGCGGCGTAACCAGGTGCTTGGCTGCTCGAGCGCAAGGATCCAGGAGGAGACAAACTGAGTAGTAGCTCTTTTCCTCGACCTTTATGCTGACGTTTTTGGTGTGTAGCCAGATTCCTCGCCGTCAGGTTCGTTGATCCTTCGCTGATGCAGAGGGGACATGAATACCGTACTTCCGTTGGGCATCGTGGTGCAGGTCCAGGTACTGGTGATGGTGCCAAATCTTGGTTCATGACACCGCTCGTTGCCGATGCGACTGGAGGGTCCAGTGCAAAGCCATTCCACGTCAGTCCATCAGTCTACTACTGCTGCTGCTGCTATTGCCTTCCACCACGCACGCTCGTGCGTGGTGGAAGTGGTGTGCGTGTGTGTCCCTCCCGATCCTACGTGTGTATGTGTGTTTTTATTATTAGCATCGACCTTGTGTGTTTTCGTCCTATTTATTTTGGCGACAGTCAGTGAGACTACACTTTTCGGTTTATTTTTTCGTACAACTACAACCATCCAGGGTCACACAGGAGGGGGTAAACACCAGGGCATTTTTCTTCTTTTTTTTTCTTTCATACCCCACCTTCCTCCTGCGGTGCGTGCTGAATTTTATTTTTATCGCGAGAAGGGTCCAGCCGTCCCTTTCCCTCGTCAACGGTGCTACCGTCGAAGTTTGGTACTCACGAGGTTACAAGGTTCCGTTTATAGCTGTAGGTGACAGAAGATATCACACCCCCTGGACCGATTTTCCCAGCTCGATTTCTCCACAACAGAAAAAGTGGCAGCGCCGACAACGGCGGCGTTGAAGGCGCCTTGTCGAGAGGCTTCCCGAGAACTTAACGTTTCGTTCATGTATCCTCTTCCTCGTGGGGTAATTGAGCTTCGAAAACCGGCCAAGGGGGGTGGTATCTCACGTCATGTCACCTGCGCCGGTAGGTTGCAGCGGACACGAGAATTTGGCTTGATGGGTGGCGACTCCTGCGGTACTGTACGGCACGGAAGTATGGCGGATCGACAGTCTCATAACAGCGTAGCGCGTGTGGGTGACAAAAAAAGTGCAGTGTATATCTATTACTAAAACCAGGCTAAATAGACATGCTGGGTGCGATAAAAGTATCACATATTTTTTTCACATATTTTTTTCTTGCCGAGAGGACACCCTTTTTTGCGACACAGAGTCTTATCTGACAGCACGTTATCACTACCCCACAGTTGCTAAGCTTTTTTGGTATCACCTGTTCACAGCAGCTGTGAAGGTTTGTCGTTAGCCCGTCGTCTAAAACCAAGTCCTGCTTCCACAATTTGGTGCACTTGGCGTCCCTGCACACCTAGTGACTTATGGAAAACCTGAGGCGTTCTCAAGTTCGCATTTTGCACCCCGGTGCACAAAAAATGCGGCGTGATTCACCGCCTCATGCCTCATAGTGATGTGTAGCAGTGTCGGCATTCCCTCTAGTGGCGGCTACAAGTAGACAAGGTCTTAACGAAATTGACAGGACAAAGGAGTTACCACTCCAGAGCCTGTGCAGCCGGGGCAGAGCCAGAGCTTTTCGTCATCCGGAGGCCCTAACTGCTGTCTCGCCGTGGTTGAAGCTGCCTCTTTGATCGAGTCGACAGCAGTCGATACTCCCCAAGCTGCCTGCCTCCCTTGCAAGATGTGGGGCTTGATTCGGAAAGACCTTGGGGAGTTCGTCACCACCCTGAAGGATGATGCCGCGGTGACCATCAAGTCGGCCATGGCTCTACGTGAGGGAGAAGAAGAAGACGACGATAGCTCGGTGAGGCTATGTTCGTCGGAGTTAAATATCATAGGGAGATGTCCTGTGGTATTTGTACCTGTACAGCAGTAGTGTTTTTGTCATTGGCACCTGCTGGCATCACTGATGAAAAACTTTCAGTGCACAACTGTGCTAGTTGTCCTTACAGATCATTGATCATCATTTGTAAATGCTGGTGTTGTGGCATGCCATGGAGTTACCGCCTTGTATCCCTCCACGCCAGGTGTTGGCAAGTCAATAGGTAGGTGTGTCTTTATTTTTCGCATCGACCGCGCTACCCGGTGGCCAATGAAAAGACTTTAGTGTTAGTGCCAGCGGGATTATCAAGGTCCCTGGAACGGCCAAGTTAGAAAAATGCTCTAAATGCGAACACCACCATGAATCTCTCCCCATATCCTTTCACAGACACACATAAATAGCTCCACATACATGCCCTCGCCCGAATCTAGGAAGCCACCAAAGCAAAGACAGGAGGACAGCGAAAAGGGGCATGTCAAGCTCAAATAGGCCAGTTTATCGTGGTATGTTGCATATCCTCCAAATTCGAAAATCGTTAGAGTTGTGAATCGGTACGAAAAAACGATATATTTTACATCGGCTGCGCAGCAGCCGATATAACGATATTTTCTCCGATATATCGCCGTAGGCGATATATCGGAGAAAATATCGGGCGAGCGCAGCGAGCCGTGATGGGGGCGAGCGAAGCGAGCCCCCCCATCGGCCCCCCCCGGCTGGTGAGGGGGCCTCGCCGGAGGCGCCGCCGGAGGCAGAAAATTTGGTGCATTTTCCTTTCATTTCCCGTCAAAATGGGCCCAAATGCGGCATCAAAAAGGGCTTGACTTCAGCTGCAAACATCGCACGGAATGTAGAAAAAAAAAAAAAAGATTAAGATTGATGTATTGTCGCGTATCCTCAGCAGTACCCTCCTTCGGTCTCTCCCTGTGTCTACTTCCCGGTTGGTTCTGGACATGGTGCTGTTGTCTGCTGTTTCTGCGCTGCTGTGCTGTGTGTGTGTGGCGTACAGGGGCTCCGTACTGCTGCGCATACCCTAAATTTGATTCACGGAGCCCCTAAGAAAACATCGGTCGGAACATCGGCACGAATTTTCGATACCGATATCGATATATATCGGACGATATATATCGTGTACATCGTTCCGATTCACAACTCTAAAAATCGTACACTCCCGCGATCCAGCAGTTAGCATCGTGTCTGCGGCTATTCTACACAGCAGCAGCCGTATAGACGAGTCCAACATATACAGCAGAGTAGGTAGTAACACATACACTATCAGCATAGCCCCATACATACCCTCGCCCGAACCTAGAGAGCCACTGATGCAAAGGTAGGTGTGTGCTGGTGTGTGCTTGCGTGCTTGTGGGAATTGTGGGAAAATCACAGGAGCTTACAAGTGAGCCGGCAGGGCTCACATTGGGGAGGAGACAGAGAAATACAGAAGTACAAGGACCAGCTATGGGCCTACAAGCCCCTTCAGTGGTCATTTTNTACAAGTGAGCCGGCAGGGCTCACATTGGGGAGGAGACAGAGAAATACAGAAGTACAAGGACCAGCTATGGGCCTACAAGCCCCTTCAGTGGTCATTTTCACTGATCATTTGAGTATACTGAAAATAGAGTTGTTCAGGCGGCTTGACTACTGATCTTTTCGAGGTCTACAAGCCTAAACTGCGCTACCGGCCGCACCGCGACCACACATCAACCCTTCTATGATCCTATCTGTGTCCACCGTCCGGTCGTGGGCAGCCCTCATGGCCAATGGGTGGAGATAGCTGTTGCGTCTACACAAGTACACTCGTCTTCTCTCTACTGCACTTCTGTCTCTCCCCTCACTCTCTCCTCCCTTTCTGTTTTTTGCCGCAAAAAAAAAAAGAGGTAGACCCAAAGGGATTAATTAGACTCCAAATAAGCCCAGTGTACCCAGCCGGTTTCTCGCCATTCACTGTGAAGACTTGAACACATCCCGTTCGACTGTGGTCTTACTATCTTGAATGGGCAGTCTTTCTGTGACTGTATTGATGTTTCCTAATATCATAAAAGCTGTGTCATGTGCAAAGTGTTTTCTGTTCTTTTCTTCCCTTTTTCTCTCAGAAAGTCGCTCTGCTCTACTGCTGAACGCTTTACAACGTCTCTTGCCGCCTGAAGTTGTGATCGATGCGGTGGTATGGTATAATAGTGTATGCCTGATCCCTCCTTGGCAACCACCAGCGCTGCTTATTCCGAACCAGAATTGGCAAGGAATGAGAAATGAAGACCACCGAAGTTGTGCAAGTCCAGGTACACCGTATGCATAGGTGACGTGAGATATCACACTCCTGTGGATGATTTTTAACGATCGATTACCGTCCAAGAGGCAAGATGGTACCCCCCCCCCTAGACCGACTTTCAAAGCTCGATTGGTCAACAACCAAGTGGGTGCTTAAAGAGCCCGATACGGAAAGCCCTCGATGAGATGTTTCCAACACCACCATTTATTGGTGTTGGCACAAGCTTGCGCGTCGAGCAGTGGAGCTCTGAAAATCGGTGTGTGGGGGTTCCATCCCCCCCCCCTCTTGCGGCACGTACTCCACGACGAGGAGGATGCCCCGACCAAATGATGCGTTTTCGGAAAGCTCTTGACAAGGCAAATCCAACGCCGCCATTTTCGGCATCGCCGCTCCTTCTACTACGTGGAGCACTCGGACTTTGAAATTCAATCCAGGGTGTGTTGATAGACATCCTCGGTCACCTACCGGTAATCTGATGTGGCGCCAGCCCAATAACGGCGTTGTACCGGGACCAGACATTCCATTGAAACTGGTCCCGGGTATGCCATTTCGGCACTACCATAGTATTCAGGATGTAAGACGTCCCCTGGAATGGCAGAATATCGGTATTATTCACGAAATCGTCGAGTTCACAGCAAGTGTATTGACGTATAGTCCATTGGCCAACCTAGATGGCGTGATAGAGAATAACGTGGGTGGGGGTCACACCTGATCGGAACGTTCGTCAGAATGGCGCGGGTTCGAGCATCATTCGCGCATGTGCACCAATAGCCGCACGAAGGACTTTCCCTTTGGTGTCAGTCACTTTTACTTCGCCTTGGTTTACAGCAAGTGTATTTGTCATCTCTCCTTTCCGCCCCCCTCAACCATGAGCAAGATTTGCTACCAGAAACCGGCAAATACTCCAGTTGAGCTGTCTATATGTCGTAGGCAGAGAGGCGCCCAACACCAAATGCGCGTTGTATCTAAATCTCGGTTGTGATATACAAGTCCTGCTGGGAACTAGCTGCATGGTTTGACCTATCGCCCGTGCCGTTGCCTCCCCCCCTCCCTCCCCGATACATGCCGTGCACGATTGTTGTCTGCCAGTACGACGACAGCGAGGACGACGAGGCCGAGGGGGGTAGGAGACGGCAGCCGGTTACGGCGGCCATCCGCGCTATCAGGGCGGACATCAAGACGTACACCGAGGTACCAAATGCACCTAGGCAGGTGTACGTGCTTTGTTATGAGTATCGTTCATATGCTGAAGAGGTTTCATGGGCTTAATTTCTTGTACACGCGCAAACGCCTCTTTTTGTTTTGTGGGTGGCCCCGGACGACTTCTGTTGTAGAGCGTGTGAATGAAACCGGCCCAGCCTGGGGGGGGGTTGCTTCGGACCTTTGCAACACCCGAGGAAACATACTCCCGAGCACCTACCTGGTGCCGAGGTGCTTAGATGTACCACCCCCCGAAGATTCTTTCCGCGGTGCCCATTTACCGGCGGCGCACCCTCTTGTGCCAGAGGGTGAAGTCAGTGTCGGTCCGCCATCGAGGGGTTTAATCAGCACGTGCCACATTCAGCAAATCGCCAGCTGCTGACTTATATTTCATGTGCTGCCCCAGTCTACCCCCACCGCACCACACCCGCTGACACTAACGTCAACCTCGCTTCTGTTTTTTTTTTTTTCACCGCTCCTCCACACGCCATTTTTGGCTGCCCCCCTGACAGGATGTACCCGACTCGCAAAGTGAGCGTTTTTCGGCGTTCGTGGCGAAGTTCGACCTAGGCGCCCGAACGAAGGACGTGGCGACGATCCTCAAGGAGGACCCGGTTGTCACCAAGATCCACACGCAGTTGGTGAGAGGCTCATGTGCAGTACGGCAGTTACGATACTGCAGCGTCTGAACTGAAAACTTGGCCACCAGTCAAGAAAGTGGCATACAGCCTGGAATAAACTCAATAGTCTAAGAAGTTGAACACCTTTTGAGACCTCGGTTGAGAACTCCTACACTCAAAACCTACGTAGCGGCCATTCTTTGCATGACCCTAGGAATACAGTAAGAACCTCAGCCTCGATCAACACTATTTATGGAGATTCTTAATGCAGGCGCTTACTTGGTGGTGTGTGAGGGTCACACTGCTGATTGGGTGAGGCACCCCCTCGGATGGTTGAAGAAGCACGTCTGAACGATGACGGCGAGACGCTTATGGGGGGGCTCTAGTTGCGGGAGCTGATGGGGGCTAGTCCGGTACATGGATCTGCAAATTATGTTCGTTTCACGATCTTCTAATTCTGCAGCAATTCTGCCGACTTTATTTTTGCGTCGGGTGGTCTTGTTTTGGTAAAACGCTGGTATCGTACATTCAGCGCTGCGAAGTAGAGGCTGCCACTCTCTCCACCCCGTTGGATGCAGCACAGTAATGAAATTGCGTACCTTACATCCGCAGCGCTCATCTTGCCCTGGACACCGATACGATCGTGCCCCCCCCCTGCTTCAGGTCCCTGAACACCTGACGTACGACGATTTCTGGACCCGCTACTTCTTCCGCGCGGAGAAGGTGGCCAAGGGCAAGGCCGGCGGCGGCATGTCGTTCCCGAACGAAGGTGAGGTGGTGTGTATGTGCTCTCGCTCGTGCTGGCCCGGGGGGAAGGGGGTCGAGCTCCAAGCCCACAGTTGACAGTTGCTGCTGTGGTTTGTTACAGTACCTTATCGAGAGTACAATGAGCCTTTCTTGTAAGTGACGCTGGTGCCGAATGCGGTGCCAGTACTCGTGTGCCGGCAAGTTTCTGTCTGCGGCCTCTTGAGCAGTATGTAGGCAGCACCAGTTTTGCTTACAGACTGCGGGACAAGGGCCAGGTGTGTTCGCCGTGAGGGGGCTCAATTGTTTGACCTGGGTGGCTTTTGATCATGTCAGGAATGCAGCAGTAGCAGCAGCAACAGCAACAGATGCACAACGACCACAAGAACAACAGCCACCCTGCCCAACACCAATACCACCCCCGGGCGGCGCCTACGCATAACCGCATGATCTATTTTCTCCCCCCGCCCCCCCCGGTGTTTGCCATCGGGGTTGGGTTTTCGTCGCTTGGCAA